GGTGGATGATAACACTTATAGCCTTTTTGGGTAGAAGAATATCCAACAAATACACACTTAAGAATTATAGGTTTTAGTTTACCCACGTTTCTAGCATGAACAAAGTACACACATCCAAAACACTTTTGGGGGAACAATATAGGAATTGTTTCCTTACAAAACCTCCATAGGATTTTTAAAATTTAAGATCTGCAAAGACATTCTATTGATAAAATAGACAGTTAAGAGAATTGCATCTCCATTTTGTGGTAGATTCATGGTGAACATTAGTGATCGAGCTACCTCTAGTGTGTATCTGTTTTTTCTTTCAACAACTCCATTTTGTTCACTGGTGTAGATACAAATTGTCTGATGAAATTATCGCATTTGACTCCAAATAGGCACGAAATCCACTATCCATATATTTTGTACCATTATCAGTTCGCAGAATCTGAATTTTAGCACCAAACTATATACATATCATTTTGTGGAAAGATTGAAAACATGAAAATATATCACTTTTTGCTTTTAACAGATAAATTCATGTTAATGTAGTACAGCAATCAATAAAAGTAACAAACAATCTTTGACCAGAAAAAGAGGTATTCTGAGTAAGTCCCCACACATAAGAGTGAATAGTCTTAAAATGATTAATACTTCTATTATTACTTAAATGATAAGAGTTCCTTTTATGTTTAGTAAGTTCGCATGTATCATAAAATAAAGACTTCATAGAAGTTCTTTTAAATAACTTAAAATATAATTTTTCCAAAATAAAAAAGGAAGGATGTCCCAATTGTCGGTGCCATTGTAGTATCTCCATATTGACTTCTTTATTCCCAATAGTTGTTTGATTTCCAATTAAATTCAGATGTCTATCCAAGACATATAAGCCATCTTGCAGTCTACCAGTGCCAATCCTCTTCCCGATTTGAAGATCTTGAAAAATACAATGATCAGGAAAAAAATCAATTTTACAGTTGATATCTCTAGTTATGATACTAATAGATAAAAGATTATCAGAAAAATTAGGCACATGTAAAATTGAAGACAGTATAATAGTAGGAGTACAATTAATGGAACCTGTTCCCGACACGGGGGTGTATAACCCATCTGCTATACGGACAATATCCCCTTCAATACAAGAAGTTGAAATAGAATAAACAATACCTGATTTTACCATATTTGATGTGCCAACAGTTAATGAAGAGTTAAGTTGACTCAAAAGGTGCTTTAGATTTTGAATTTTTTTGTGGAAAAGGCTCTAATGGATTGTGAAGTAGGTGTTTCCCTAGTTTCAACAAAATTTGCTTGAGCTCTTGTGGTTCCACCTCTTCTTTCTCCCCGACCTGTAATTGGTCTTCCATGCAACTTCCAACAAGTTTCCCTAGTGTGTCTTGGCTTGCCACAATAGTCACATTTTCATATATCTCTGGATTGATCAGACTGAGCAACTAGTTCAGCTTTCTCAACTGGTGCAATGTGAAGCATGACATTTATTCTACTCTCTTCTTGTTGAACATAAGCATAAGTTTGTTCTAATAGGGAAAAAGATTCTTACCAAGCACTTGGACCCGTATTTGATCATATTCGGTGTTCAAACTAGTTAAAAAATTATAAATTCGCTCTTTTTTTATCAATTTCTGAAATTTGACTGCATTTACAGGGCACTCTGCTTGAAAATCTTGATAGTAATCTAACTTCTGCCATAATACATTTAGTTCAGAAAAATATTGAGAAATAGTCATCTGTCTTTGCTTTGTGCCATGAACTTTATTCCGGAGTTCATAAATCTGGGCGTCATTACCCATCTGTGAATATGTAAGAGATGTTGCATTGCATATTTTTTCGGTAGTGTTAAGCAACCGATGTGTTCTGGAAATATAGAATTGCATGATATTTATGAGTCATGACATTACCAATGAGCTCTCAGAGTCTCATCTATTATATTTTAAATTACTAATATCTGGTTTCTTCACATCACCAGTAATATAACCCTACAATCCTCTAGATTTGATGAACAATGAATAAGATCTCGACCAATTAAGATAATTAGTTCTATCAAGTTTTACAGGACTAATTTGTAATGAAGGATTATCAAAGCTAGTAACACTCACTTTTTTTACTTTTATAATTTTAGAATGCTAAAAATAAGAAGAAAAAATACCCAGTAATAAAAAATGAATCTCTTATTTGCACCAAGAAGCCAAAAAAACGGAATTAGATTTGGTTCGACTCTAAACGGATCGGGTTTAGTTCTAAAACGGCTCAGACTTGGCTCTAAAACGGCTCAAAGTCGGCTTGGTTTGTCTTCTCCGAACAGATCTCTGAACGTGCGCAGAAAAAGTTAATGGTGTGTCCTTTTTTACCTGCATCTATTGATGTGCGGCTGTAATTTTTTACTAGCGTTTTTAGATGTGCGGCTGCATTTTTTTACTGGCGCTTAGCGCTTATGGTTGTGCGGTTGTATATTATTATCGGTGCTTTTGGAGGTGCGGCTGCACTTTTTACCGACGCCTGTGAATGTGCGGCTTCAATTTTTACCGATACCTGCGAATGTGCAGCTCCAGTTTTTACCGACGCCTGCAAATGTGCGGCTGCAGCTTTTTATCGGCGCTCTGATATCCTGAAGTTTTTATAAAAAATAAACTTTTCATTTTTTATTATTTGTTTTGTTTACATTTAAAAGATATATATAAACTAGTTATTTTTATTATATTTGAACTCTAATTATAAGATATAATTATACAATTAGAATTATAAATAATATAGTATTTTATTTAACATAAAATCCTTATCAACATATTGATTATGTCCAAACCTCTTGATTGTTTACTGAATTTGTTGAACTATGTTTTTTGGAGATTGTTTAACTCCATATAAGAACTTTTTGAGTCTGCAAACTTTTTTGTTAATGACTTGACTTTCAAGACCTAGTAGGATCTCCACATAGACTTTTTTCCACTTTTTCAAAAAAAGTATTCTTCACATCTAGTTAGAATACTGGCCAATCCAGATTGGCAGGTAGGGGCATTAGTATACAGATTATGTTAAACTTTGTTATTGATGCAAATATCTCTTTATAATAGATTCAATTTGAATATGTTGATGCTATCATAAGTATTATGCTTAATTGTGAACACCTATTTATTGTCGACTAAGTGCTTCCCAGATGGTAATTCTGTTATTTCCTAAGTCTAATTTTTTTCTAAGGTTTGGATTTCCTCTATGATTGCAATTTTTTATTCGAGAACTTTAATGATTCATGTATTATCCTTGTTATCTATAGTTTTGTCAATATTACTGACAAATGCCTGGTGAATTGATTACAATCTTTTGTATGAAACAAAATTATGAATTGGATAATCAATACATTCTTTTTTTTTCTCTCTTAAAATAATACTTCATCATCATATAGATTATTTAGGAAGAGATCTGAACTTGGATTACCCAAAGTATTCAATAATAGTAGATATGGATCTGGATTAGATTCATGACTTTGATAAGGTGTTTGTGGCTCTTTCTCTTCTTGGTTCTAGTTCCTTCTGGTGTAGACCCGAAGTTTAGGTTTTTCAGTGTGATGAGTAGGTTCAAGTCCAAATATCTCATTTCAATTTATGTCTTCTGAAGAATGAACATATTTAGTTGGAGGACAATTAAGATACTCAGTGCTAGAGTCCCAAAATCAGGATTCTTGTGTATTCTTCTCCCGTTGAATGCTAATTTTGTAGTATGGTTGGTATTCATGAAAGATAACATCCATGTAGTTATAAAACTTTCGAGTGACTGATGAATAACACATATATCCCTTTTGGTTTGATGGATACCTATTTATTGTCGACTAGGTGACTGGTGAATAACACATAGTACGAGTATGTTTTGATAATTGACAAATTTCATAATGAAAAAATTTTGAATTTTTATTTCTGAATAAAAAAAGAAACAATTTTGAAGGTTTATAAGTTTGAGTATCCCCGATCAATAATGCCTTAAGATAGTTATATTAAGATTGTCGAAGTTTGACTATCTTGAGAGTCAACACATATAGCGTTATGGAATTGTCTCCAGACAGATCTATTATCCTTGAAGAGAAAGAGTTCAGGTTACACCTTAATATTGCCATTATTAAATTTTTATTCATGCTACTTAATATGCACTATCTAAATATATATAGGAGAAAATTAGAGAGAGTTTTAGTAAAAAACTAAATACAAATCAGCTCGTAAAAGAAAAAGATCTTATAGTTATGGAAATCGACTATGATTCTACTTTATTGAGAGATTTTTCTAAATATATCAATCTGCATGAGAATTGGACGTATACAAGAAGTCAACGTTGTATATAAATAAAAAAAAATATCTTAGTGATTACTGCTGTGTGCTAATTGGTTATTGGATTTTGAAATTTTCTGAGTCTTGGCTATATTTTGGACAAGTAGACTACTTTGTGGAATTCATTTTGGAAATTCATGCGTATGAAAATTTAAATGCAAAAGATGAAGTTCAACCCTGAGAGAATTTAACAATGCATTTCAATATCCATAAGTTAGATGAGTTTTGAACTTCATCATTTCAATACTATGTAGAAGCTATTTGGAGTTAAATTTTCTTCCATAATTGAACCAATAATGAATTTTCTAATGAATTTTATAAAAGAGTTGTGTTTGGTTGTTCCAAACACAATAATCATATATTACACTGTTAGATTTTTTCTTTTTCATGTTATTTTCACAAACAGTATAGGAAGATATATTTTCATGTTACCTCTGATTTTCCAAATTTTTTCTTGTGGGCCATCAGTTCTGGTGGCCTGTTCAGTCCTTATGTAATTTCATACCAAATTATCATGTATAGTCAAGATAAGCTTATAATTCATCTATTGCCTGTGACTTTATAACATTAGATACATAAGGATAAATCATACTTTAATTCTGAACTCTCTTGAACTTCAGTTTTTCCTTGTTATTTGGATTCATTTAATCCAAATTACAACAATTTTATGCCTTGCAGGACAGTTTTCACTGTAGATGTTCATAGCTGACCTAATGCTTCTGTAATATGTAGGTTCCTACCATGTATACCCGACTTATACAAGGTTACGAATCAATGGATATGGAGCTGCAGTCTGCTTCTGCCTTTGCTGCAAAACAGTTGCGCCTTATGGTCAGTGTACTGTAGGACCTCAAGTGCATGTCTTTTTCCACCAAACTGGGAATATCAGTTGACTTTATGTTTTTAGGAATGACTCTACTCCGTTAAGTTTAACTTTCTAAAATTAAGTCATTTTAATCGAATCTTAATTATGTGTAGAACTGTGCCATTTTGTCCTGTAAATGTTGTTCTCAATTTTTCTATTTCAATGTCAAATCTGATTCCTAAAAGAAAGCAAAATACCTTTTTTTTCCTAGATGTGTGGCTCATCTGCACTTCCTCAGCCAGTTATGCAACAGTGGGAAACTATCACAGGACATCGGCTTTTGGAACGGTATGGCATGACAGAGGTATGAACTCTTATGTTTAGGTTCCTTCCTAAGCTTTTTATTTGCTCAACAAAGAAGTACATTCAGATTTTGCTGTTATGTACTCAATTTTTTTTTATAATAATGGTATTAACTTCATGTCCTTAGTTTGTCATGGCGATATCAAATCCCTTAAAGGGTGCACGAAAGGCAGGCACTGTTGGCAAACCATTCCCTGGAGTGGAGGTTCGTACGGTAGGCCAAATTGTAGGATCCAACATTAACTGGCATTAAATGTAATGTTATGAAGGTCATAACAAAGTCTATGCTTATGCAACTGATAACAGTGAATCTTCATGATTCCTCGCTAAAACATACTATGTAGTATGATAAACTATGGAAAGATTTTTGTTTGAATTTATTATATTACTGATCTTATCAACTGTATAATAGTCTAACTTTTTTTTTACGTACTAATGATCTCTTTTCTCTGAAAAAGTTTCTTTTGGTAATGCTTCTACATTTCCTGTTTGTAGGTCAAGATTGAAGAAGATGAAAGTGAAGGTGATAAAAGTGGAGTAGGTGAGCTCTGTGTTAGAAGCCCATCATTGTTTAGTGAATACTGGAGACTGCCTGAAGTAACTAAGGAATCATTTACTGATGATGGTTTCTTCAAGACTGGAGATGCTGGTCGAGTGGATGAGGATGGATACTACATCATTTTGGGACGTAAGGAGATCTAAATTCCAGTATGCATAGTATTCTTGTGATTTGTTATTTCTTTATCACCGGGCATGCATATCATGTATGATCTGTGTAGTATGCTTTTAAGCCTAGAATTTTGGTTATGTAGAACAAATTAGGATTAATCTGCTTATTTGGAGATTTGATGATGAAAACCTAGACATTACACTAAATATGTATTTTAGACATCACATCTAAAAAGTGTTAAACATTACACTTGATGGTTTAATAACATTTACACAACTAGAAAATTAAAAAAATCTCAAAATATTTTATTAAATAACCGAAATCAGTCTGGAAAGTGAAATTAGGGAGAAATTCATATTGTTTCATAAGTAGCACTTCTTCAATAAGATTACATTAACAAATACTAATTTTAATGGGATTAGAAAATAATATTACTATAACAAATAGGAAAACTAAATACTAAAAAAATTTAAATTTTAAATTTTCGAAAATTATAATTATAGACTTCTAAATAGTGCAATAGTCGTATATTTGATAAGATTATATTTTGTAATCTATTTAGCAATCTAGATTTGACATATTTTGCATCATTCTCTCCTCATGAAAACTTGGCCTTGAGTTTTAAAATAATGAATGATGTAAAACTCTAATCTTCAAACTGTCGTTTAAAAATTTAGCAAACTTATGCTATGTCATTCTTTTCAATATGAAAAATAATTGAAACAAAATTATTTAAGAGTATAAAGTTCCGTCATTAGAATGAAACCAACATAATGACCAATTGGTATATCAAGTTTCTCCTTGTATAAAGCTTCCATAAGGTTGTTGATGCGGAATCCAGGATCAACGTTATAATCCATAACTTAATTTACACAATGTTCATCAAGGCACTAAAGACTTAAATCTTATAAAAACTCTCCCTACTTAACCTATTATCAATAGAGTGATAGAAACTAAGATCATTAAGAAGAATTAGATCTTAAAGAAGAAAAGCAATTGAGAATGCAAAAAAAGACAATTATCGAGAATGATGTATATATTCGGTTTTGCCCTTAAGGAGGAAAACCAAAGATGTCCCTAAAATTCTACTCCCGATGCACACTATGTTCTATAGTGAAGATGAAGTCTTATGCTTAATAAGATGTGTAATTAATGGATGCACGTTGATTTTTGGATGAAGAAACAAAAAAAAGAGCCTTTGCCTTATGGTGATGAAGAGATCGGTCTTGCACCGTTGTAAAGAAGGATAGTTGAGCACAAAAGGTAAGTACTTTTCCGATTAGTGTATTGAGTAATCAAGATTTCTTTTCTTTGTTTCCTTTCTTTCTTTCTCTTTTTTTTTCTTGTTTTTTTTACTAAATAGGAAAGGTAATTACAAAAGAAAAGAGACTCAAATGATGGTGATGATGATGTTTAGCTCAACAAGAAAGTAACAAGCGAAGAAAGCGTCAAGTTGTTGCTTCTTTGTTGGGTCGATGTATGTATACAGATTATTTTTTTTGTGTGGGTGATGAAAAAAAATGGTGCAAGAAACTAAGCACAATTGCAAAGATAGAAAGGTTTAGAAGGAGGTTAAACTCTGATAGTAAATGATACGGAACTCAGGATCAACGTTTTAATCCAAAACTCACACAATGCTCATTAAGGCACCAAAAACTTAAATACTATGAAAACCCTTCTTACTTAACCCGCTATCAATAGAATGATAGAAACTAAGATCATTGGAAAATTAAAAGAGTATGAATAGGAAATACACCACAAGAAATATCTTGATAAGTTGATCCAACTCCTTGCTTAACAAGAAGGATGAAGATACTTTATTAGTTGAAAGAAATTTTATAATTTTATTGATTGAAACTTGAATGGTTATAACTAGAAATTGAAGGCTTATTTATACATTAGGTCATGTGCAATACAAGAAAAAATAACTCTCTTAAATTAATTGTAGAAAATTACATAAAAAATTAAATATAGACTTAAATGAGCAAATACTAAGAATCAATAAGATTACAATCAAAATAAAGTAGATATAGTCTACCATCTTTTAAATGGAAAAAATTTTAATTAATTATAGAGATAATTGAGGGAAGAATTAAGAAATATTTTGACCGATTTATGAAAGGATTAATTGCTCCCATAATCTCTCCAAAATCTATGAGATTTCAATCTCCCATTAAGGCATGAGATTTAATTTTCTCTTAGTTTCTTATGCAGTTTAAGAAGGAAATCCCCTTTTGGCTAACTCTCCCTTTAGGGGAGAAGATTGTTGGAAGGTTTGGGAGAAGAAATCCCTTATTGGATCTTCCTCTTCCACTTGGATTAAGGTGTTGTACCATAATGCCCTTGGATTGATGGACTTATTTTCTGTCTTTGGCCTTCTTTAATGTTCCATCACATCCCCTTATGATCCATTCTTGGATGAAGAGTTGAAAAGGTTGTTGTAATCTTTTTATTCTCCCTCTTGTAATGGGCCCACTTGATATTATAATATTTTTGTGGTCCATGCTCACATTAGTTGTCTTTTAGGAAAAATTTGGAATCGGAACTGTTGACCAGAATATTATGTTGTTCAATTAGTTGAGATATTTTTTCCATTATAAATCTTCCCATAATCTTTTCCATAATTATATAATTAGTTAGAATCAATTAGAGTTGCTATTATAATGTTAATTTACTTATCTGTGGGTGGGAATTCTGTATATATACCCTAGTTGTAACAACATAAGAGGTATCAGAATTAAAGTTAATATTTTTTTTACAAAAATCTTAATGGCATCGGAGCTAAATAAGGTTATTTTAGGGTTTATTTTTAGGGTTTTAATAGTACAATAGGCTAACTTGGTACCCATATATCAAAATTTACTCTCACCACCCACCCAGACATAGTCGCAGCCGCACCGCCGTCACACACCTAGATTGGGCCTTTTTTGGCCTATCGCACGCGATCCGGCTCGAAATTATGCTTACAGGCTCCTGACTTCATACGATTGCCATGCATTCAGCCGATCTGCTGGTCTGAGCACTCTACCACACCATTCAGGTCCTTCCTTGCACAGAGATGTCTCAATGGCCCTTCTGCATGCTAATCCGCTCTGATCTGGTTTGTCCATGCACTAAGTCGAGCTAATCTGTCAATCTGAGCCTTCTGCCACGCCAATCTGGCCTTTCCGCACATTGAACAGCCTTGATATAGTTTGTCCACATGCCGAGCTAACCGGCCTTCTTTGGTTCAATTTTTAGAGTGTCCCTGCGTTTGTCACCGCTGCCTTATCTGACAGATTTGGTTATGGTGATCTTCTTTGGGTTTGCAATGTCTTCTTTTTCACATTCGTTGGTGCTGGTTAGAGAGTGTATTTTATCTCGTTGAGATTAATTACTGGATATTGTTCTTTTTCTATCTCTAGTTACTTTAAATAATGATAAAAATAAAGAAATTCGTTGTTTCTAGTTCAGATGGTCCTTCATCAACTATTGAACTCTTTTCAAACGAGGAGATTCAAAGCCTGAAGCATATCATCTCTATTAACTATTCATCAACCATTGGTGCATTAAAAATAGTAAAATCAGGTCTACTATTTTCAATATTGATACTTAGATTATAGACTCTGGAGCTAACAGACACATGATAGATTCTTTTAAAGACTTTCTAATCTATTGTCCTTGTATTAAAAAGGAAAATGTCCATATAGCATATGGATCATACGCTCCTGTATTTGGAATAAGTTTCATTAATTGTATTTCAACATTATTTTATTTTCAGTTTTTCATGTGTGTAGTTTTTCTGATAATTTTTTATCTGTTAGTGTCATCAATAGAGATTTTAATTGTAAAATTGTATTTTTTCCTGATTATTATATTATTCAAGATCTTCAAATAGAGAAGAGGATTAGTACTGGTAGACTGCAGAATGCGTTATATGTCTTGGACAAAAGTTAAAGTGTAATTCGGAATCAAATTGCCTTAGAGAATATAGAAGTCAATCGAAAAATTCTACAGTTGCATCAACAGTTGGGACATCCTTCATTCTTTACTTCAAAAAAAATTCTCTCTCATTTTGCTAAAAAAAACTTTTATTGATTCCTTATTTTGTAATACTCGAAATTAATTTTAAAAAATTTAAAATTAATGTATAAAATATAATTTTTAAATTTATAAATTTTTATTTAATGTAAAAATTAAGAAAAAATAGGTGGAGAACGAAATTAAAAATAATTTTGGAAAAAATAGGTGAAAATTTGGTTATGGGGTGTTTTTGAAAGAAAAATCGGAAAATGGGGGTCAAAACATAATTTAGAAAAAATGTGCCACGTAGGACCACCCAGTGAGTAGTCCCAACGAACTGGAGTGCGTCGCGTGACAAGGCACCCTGACTCGGTGCCACGTTGGCAATTCGCGTGCCCGCGATCGGACGGTTCGGATTTGTTCCCGCGCGCGTGGACAGTCCAAATCCGTTCCCTCTTTAAACGCGATCGTACAGTGGAGGTCAAATCGCGATGAAACGGTTCAGATTCATTTCTTTTTTAAACGTGATCGGACGGTCGAGATTAAACGCGATAGACGGTACAGATTAAAGGGAGATGAATATAAATATATCACTTCACACCAAACTCTAACCCTAACCGCCAGCCCCCCACCGGAGAAGAAGAACCAGTCGCCAGAGAAGGGAGCCGACCGCCACCCACTGCCATGCCGGAGCCACCTTCAATTGCCCAAAAAAAGTAAAAATTTTCTCTTTCGCTCGAAATTTGATTTTGAACACTCCCATGACCAAATCGGAATAAAAGGATCGGTGGATGAGGCGAAAACCGCAGGTAAAGCCCGGCACCGCCGCCGGAGGAAAAATTAAAAACCACCTCAGATGAGAATCTTCCTTATTCCTGTTTCGTGCAATTTTTCCACCATTGTATTTACCATTATGTTTTTCACAGGTTAACCGAAGAAAAACACCCAACCGCGAAGGGGAGCTGACGGAGCCGCCGCACCGAAAAACCCCGCCGCCGATGAGCTTCTGTTTTTTG